GTGTGTGTGTGTGAGAGAGAGTGTGTGTGTGTGTGTGTGTGTGCGAGAGAGAGAGTGTGTGTGTGAATAAGTGTGTTCGGATGTGTGCTGGATTTCATAATGTGCTTCCAACTTCTGATTCACTTTTATGTATATCAATAAATGACTAAATAAAGCTGAAATAAAATGTAATATAAATATTAGATGAAAACCTTAACAAATATCTAACAAAAATTATAAATGTTTTCTAACTGTAATAAATAAGTTTAGTTGAATGTCAAAATTACTAAACATAAATAAAATAAAATAAAAAAGCATACAAGCATATAACAAAATTACTAAAACTTTAACTGAAATTAAAATGAAAACTGAAAATATAAAAAATAAATGCTATTTAATTATTATTAAAACTATTAAAAATTGTTTTCGGTAATTAAGCTGAAACAAAATCAAATGGAAATATTAGATGAAAAACTTAAATTCTAACAAAACTTATGTTTTCTAACTGAAATAAATAAGTTTAATTTGAAATACTAAAATTACTACAACTAAAACTGAAATAAAAATTGGAAATATAAAAATAACATAATAAAAAAGCACATAAAATTAATAAAAGTAGAATGAATCTGAAAATATAAAAATCAAAGTGATTCAAAATATTAATTAAAACCATAAATATTATAAAAATTATACTAAAATAACTGATATATACACACACCATTTTTGTTGTATGCAATGCTGCTTTAGAATGAAACGAAAAGTCTCTTCTACTCACCAAGGCTGCATTTATTTCATCAAAAATATGAAATATTATTATAATTTAAAATAACTGTTTTCTATGTGAATATTTTCTCAAATGTAATTTATTTCTGTGATCAAAGCTGTATTTTCAGCATCATTACTGCAGTCTTCAGTGTCACATGATCTTCAGAAATCATTCTAATATGCTGATTTGCTGCTCAACAAACATTTCTGATTATTATTAATGTTGAAAACAGTTGTGCTGCACAATATTTTTGTGGAAACGGTGATACATTTTTATTTTTCAGGATTTACAGATGAATAGAAAGTTCAATAAACAGCATTTATTTGAAATAGCAATCTTTTAAAACATTATAAATGTCTTTACTGTCAACTTTTGATCAATTTAATGCATCTTTGCTGAATAAAAGTATGAATTTCTTACTTCTAGAAGCTTCAAGAATCTTAGCCATTACTGTTTTTGATGACAGTGGAGCCGAAACCAAGTCACCCCAGTGTTTCCGTAGGAGCAATAACTGCTCTAAGTGTCTGTAAGGTCAGTTTGCAGTGAGAGAGAGGTGTGTGTGTGTGTTTGTGTTGTCGTTTCAGACGTATCAAACCTCCTGTGCCGTGAAGCGCAGCAGCGCGTCCTCCAGCGCTCCGGGATTCGCTGCTTTGTTCCGGAGCGCAGCGCCGAGGTTTAAGAGCAGTGCGGTTTGTACTCTAATCCGGCCTTTGATTCCCAACACCGCGGCACAAATCCATCGCGTGGAATCCAGAGACGTGAAACTTTAACCTTAAACACTCGACTGAAGAGCTGCTCTTAAAGTCTCTGAATAAACTCAGAGCATTAAATCTCCTGACGAGCTTTAGTCGGGATTACTTGATTAAAATAATGACTGCTAACGTATTCAACTAATTAAGCTCAGGAAACCTGTCAAGAACATGTTCAGGTTATATTTAACAAAAAATGAAAGAAAAAAAAATTTTGTTTGAAAAATTTGCGAGAAATTAAGTTTTTTTTTTTTTTTTTGCAAAATTATATTAAAATTACATTATATATTATAATTTTTGCATTGTGATATTTTCACAAAAGTTACACATTTACTCCTAATTATAATTTTTAAAATTAATTAAATTACTCTAATTAATGTAATATGATTATATATTCATATACTAAATATAAATTAACATTGCTGTACTGAGTGTAATTTATGTTTAAGCTGAATAAAATCTTTGTAATACAACATTACTTGCACTGTTAAATATATATTTTAACTATTTATTAAATTTTTGCATTGTTTTAAAATTAAAGATTTTCCTTTTAATTCTAATTAAAAAATATATCTAAATAAACAAATTCATATTTCTGTAGTGCATATATATATATATATATATACATATATATATTGCAGCATCTTCAGTGTCTCATATATACACACATATATATATATAATATAACATTTTAGTAATATTAATTGCAAAGTGACTGCAATGACTTTTAAATGTAATAAAATCATTGCATTACAGCAATATTTGCACTGCAATTTTTAAATTAATTAATTAATTTGCATTACTTTCACAAATTTTTTTTTTCTTAATTCTAATTAAGAAAAAATAAATTAAATATAAACAAGTAAAAATAATATTTATATTTGGGATAAGCATTTATTTATCATAATAGTTGTACCAAGTTTATTTAAGTTTAATGTATGCTTATTTAAATTATATTACAGCAATATTAGCACGGTATTATAATAAAACAGCACAATTACAGTAATGAGCCTGTAATGAAAATGAGAATAACTACCACTGAGAATAACTACAAAAAAGATGAAGATTATGGTAATGCAAATTTAAGAGAAATGTGTTAAATTTCATTTATGAAACCTGAGCAAAACGAATCTCTGTGTAATTTATTCATAAAACCATCATTAAGTAAATTACCACATTATTAAGTAAATTACCACATTCAATACAATGCGATCATTGATGCAAGGATGAATTAATAAATAATTTACAGACATTTCACTCTATTTTTTAAATTAGCTGAACCTGCCCTTAAACGTCTATTTACACGTCCTGTCTAAATGGGCAGCACTTGGTCAGAATGAGCAGCCGGACGCTGCCATACGGGACATACAGAGACATCGCACTACACCTCATTTCCTGTCTGGACAGGAAGACAACAAACAGGCCAAATCACCTGCAAATTTATTGTCCCGTTTCTCGGGCCGGCCGAACGGGTGGAGTCCATTTTTCAGAGCGGACATCTTTGTTTAAGACTTGACTTGGTTTCAATGGATGAATTAATATTGACAAAACATCAGCTGGGCTAATGAGTGGTTAGTTAAAGCAATAAACATGCCACATTAGAGGCTGGGCCACAGGAAGCTAATTAGAGAGCGACGAGAGAGAGAGAGAGAGAGAGAGAGAGAGAGAGAGACAGAGCGAGAGAGCTTTAAACCATTAGCTCCAACACCCACGAGCGTTTTACTGGAAACCGTCTCTCACTCACACACACACACACACACACACACACACACACACACACACACACAGCGATATAGAATGACTTGTACGGTCATATATGATGTTCATTTCCAGTTGCCTTATTACTGCAGGACCCTCTGCCCTCCTGTCTCTCTCTCTGTCTCTGTGCGTCTGTCCATCCATCTTTATCTGTTTCTTTGCTGACTGTCTGTCTATCTGTGTCTCCGTCTGCCTGTCCATCTGTCTGTGTCTGTCTATTTGTCTGTCTGTTTCTGTCCATCTGTCTGTCCGTGTATCTGTCCATCTGTGCATCTGTCTTTGTGTGTGTCTGTCCATCTGTCTGTGTGTCTGTCCATCTGTCTGTCTGTCTGTCTATCTGTCTGTGTGTCTGTCCATCTGTCTGTGTGTCTGTCTGGCCATCTGTCTGTGTGTCTGTCCATCTATCTGTCCGTGTGTTTGTCTGTCCATCTGTCCATCCATCTGTCTGTGTCTGTCTGTCTATCTGTCTGTCCGTCTGTCCGTCCATCTGTCCATCCATCTGTCTGTGTCTGTCTGTCTATCTGTCTGTCCGTCTGTCCGTCCATCTGTCCATCCATCTGTCTGTGTCTGTCTGTCTATCTGTCTGTCCGTCTGTCCGTCCATCTGTCCATCCATCTGTCTGTGTCTGTCTGTCTATCTGTCTGTCCGTCTGTCCATCCATCTGTCTGTGTCTGTCCATCCGTCTGTCCATCAGTCTGTGTGTCTTTCCATCTATCTGTCCGTGTGTGTCTGTCCATCTGTCCGTCCATCTGTCCATCCATCTGTCTGTGTCTGTCCATCTATCTGTCCGTGTGTTTGTCTGTCCATCTGTCCATCCATCTGTCTGTGTGTCTGTCTGTCCGTCTGTCCATCCATCTGTCTGTGTGTCTGTCCATCTGTCTGTGTCTGTCCGTGTGTCTGTCTGTCCATCTATCTGTCCGTGTGTCTGTCTGTCCATCTGTCCATCAATCTGTCTGTGTGTCTGTCTGACCGTCTGTCCATCCATCTGTCTGTGTCTGTCCATCCGTCTGTCCATCTGTCTGTGTGTCTGTCCATCTATCTGTCCGTGTGTCTGTCCATCCATCTGTCTGTGCGTCTGTCTGTCCGTCTGTCCATCCATCTGTCTGTGTGTTTGTCCATCCATCTGTCTGTGTGTCTGTTCGTCTGTCTGTGTCTGTCCATCTGTTTGTCCGTGCATCTGTCTGTGTCTGTCTGTCCATCTGTCTGTCCGTGCATCTGTCTGTGTCTGTCTGTCCATCTGTCTGTCCGTCTGTCCATCTGTCTGTCCGTGCATCTGTCTGTGTCTGTCTGTCCATCTGTCTGTCCGTCTGTCTGTCTGTGTCTGTCCATCTGTTTGTCCGTGCATCTGTCTGTGTCTGTCTGTCCATCTGTCTGTCCGTCTGTCTGTCTGTGTCTGTCCATCTGTTTATCCGTGCATCTGTCTGTGTCTGTCTGTCCATCTGTCTGTCCGTCTGTCTGTCTGTGTCTGTCCATCTGTCTGTCCGTGCGTCTGTCAATCTGTGTGTCTGTCTTTCTGTCCATCTGTCTGTCTACCTGTTTTTGTCTCTCTGTCTGTCTGTGTTTCCATCTGTCTGTCTGTCTTTGTCTGTTTGTGTCTGTCTGTGTGCCTCTCTCTCTGTCCGCCTGTCTATATGTCTGTCTGTCTTTCCTTCTCTCTGTCTGTCTGTCTCTGGCCTCTGCTGCGGTCAAATCGAAAGTGAAGTTAAAATCAATGGAGTTGAGCTGGAAAGAGAGGTGGCAGATGGAGAGATAGAGAGAGAAACAAAGGGTGTCTAAACAGGGAATGCCTTCAGCACACTGGATTTACAGCAACATACACACACTGCATTACTGTGACATCACTTCCTGTCACTGCAGCGCTGCGCTCGCTTCTCGCTTACTATACTATATAAGGGTTGTGTTCACTTTTACATCACTGCAACACTGTTAGTAATGATGATAAAACTGTGCTTGTAAAATATGCAATATTCTGTATTGCATTTACCAACAGATACTGGTGGATATTGATTTACTGGCAATTATGGTCAATAACCAATAAGATTGCCATTATTATGTGTGATATTTGGATTGCACTAAAACACTTTTAAAATATTTTTTTTACAAATAAGACTGCCAATATTATAATGTGACATTTTTATACAGAGTATATAATTTAATATATTAATATATAAATTATATATAAGGTTATTACTGTGAACTAAAACAAAAACCATACAAAAATAGTTAAATGAAAAAAGAAACTTTAACTGAAATAGGTTTAATTTTATATTTTATTTTAGCTAGTTGTCAAAGCAACATTTCTTATTTTCATTTTAGTTTAACTTGATGTACTAAAATAATTAAAAATAAAACTGAAATAGAAACATAATAAAAACTAAACAGAACTACAGTATATAAAACTATATATTTAAAAAATAAACTAATATAAATCACAAACACACTAAAACTTCCAAGTTAAAATAAAACAAAAAATATAAAAATAAAAATTAATTCACTACACTAATTAAAAATATTGATTATTAATGAAACCACAACAGTATCTCAGTGATACTAATGTATATACACACACACACACACGCAAAACAAAAAGAAAATGTAAAAAATAAATACAAATAAATAATTATTTTTGGTGGTGGCCAAAATTATTAGAACACTAGTATTTTCTTCTGGATTGAGTCTGTCTCAGTTTGTTCTGTTTCTTCATGTCATTCCAGACAGACTGATGATGATCAGATCAGATCTCTGTGTGGAGCACTGGCTGCTGTCAGACAAAAATCTCACTGGATTATTACAATTAATAACAAAATGAATGTTTGGAAATGCAAACTGATATTTCCTATTGACACCGTACAGCAAAAGATAATAAGAAAGATAAGAATATAATAAGATAAGCAAAAGATAATAAGAAAGAGACAGATAAGATGAGAAATAACTGACTTCAAACCATCTTTTAGCTGCTGAAAATACTAGTGTTCTAATACTTTTAGCCACCACTGTATATACACAAGTAGTTTGAGAGTGAAGAGACTAGATTACTGTATGTCATTCATAATGATTCATGGGAATGATCAGGTGTGTGTGTGTTTGTGTACTCAGGTGTGTGTGTGTGCGCATGTGTGCGTACTCACAGGTGTGTGTGTGTGTGTGTGTTTACTCACAGGTGTGTGTGTGTGTGTGAACTCACAGGTGTGTGTGTGTGTGTGTGTGTACTCACAGGTGTGAGTGTGTGTGTGTGCGTCTGTGTGTGTGTACCAACAGGTGGGTGTGTACTCACAGTTTTGTGTGTGTGTGTATGTGTGTGTGTGTGTGTGTACTCACAGTTGTGTGTGTGAGTGTTTGTGTACTCACATGTGTGTGTGTGTGTGTGTGTGTGTGTGTTTGTGTACTCACAGGTGTGTGTGTGTGTTTGTGTACTCACAGGTGTGTGTGTGTGTTTGTGTACTCACAGGTGTGTGTGTGTGTTTGTGTACTCACAGGTGTGTCGGGCCAGTGAGTAGTTGGATCCTCCGGTGGTCAGACCAAATCCGTCGGGAGCCTGAGTGCTGGTGCGAGCGCGGGAAGGTAGTTTGGGAGGTTCGATCTCTGCACCAAACTCGGCTCCGATCACTCCCAGCAGAACGATGGCCGTCGCCTGCTTCCTCCGCTCCTCATATGAGTTACAGATCTTCGCGTTCGGTGGCAGGTTCGACAGACAGCCTACAGACAGATACACAGAGTCACTTAAAGATACATACATACACTTAAAGAACATAAAACAACATTCACAGTTCATTTCTGTAGTCACTTATTTCTGAAAATGTTCAACTGAAATTTATGTAGAGAGGTATAACAAAAGATAAAAACTAAATGAATCCATAAGGAATTTGTAAAAATATATGTAAATCTTTAAACAAAGTAAAATAAAAATCACCATGAGCAAAACTTATAAACACTAAAAACAATAAATGTTCAACTGAAATTTATGTAGAGAGGTATAACAAAAGATAAAAACTAAATGAATCCATAAGGAATTTTTAAAAATATATGTAAATCTTTAAACAAAGTAAAATAAAAATCACCATGAGCAAAACTTATAAATACTAAAAACAATAACAACAACAATAATAATAAGTAATTCTTATAAATAAAAGTAAATTCTAGTAATCAAGTAAATCTGAAAAAATATGTAAAATAAAATAATAAATCCCTTTTCAGAATATACAAATAAAATAAAATAAAATAAATCATATAAGCAATTCTTATCCATTTAAGTAAATCCTTAATAATAATAATAATAAATAATAATAATAACAAGTTAGACTTATAAATAAATCCTTAAAAATAATGAAGCAAAATAAAATAAAATAATTAATATGAAAATAAACCATTTTTTAGGAAATGAATATTTCACATGTTGTTTTGTTCCGGTCAGATGAATTTGTTGTGAATGTGAGACACCTGCCCATAAAACACCCACGACTCGTCTGAATTAACGCTGCGGCGCTCGTGGAGCTTCGGCTTTGTGCTCAGCGTCCAGACAGCACTCTGAATGGAGAGTGTGTGTGTGTGTTAGGGTCAACACACACACACACACACACACACACACACACACACACACACACACACACACACACAGAGGCATAAAGAGAGCTGGAGGGGTGTTTGCTTGCGGAAGTGTGGGGTGCGGTTGATGGGCTTCTTTTGTTACCAAACGTGTGTGTGCCGCAGAAGCCCCTCCAACACGGGACACGCAATTAGTCTCACACACACACACACACACACACACACACACACACACACACACACACACGCCTGAGGCCACAATACAGAGACGTATGATGATGTAGAGCACAGATATTACAGCTCACAATGGATAAATGCTTATCTATTTTAATCTGCACTAATGTCAATTAACACATTAAAAATGGCTCTAATATCATCTGGATGAATGTTTGTTTGATTCTATAACAGCAATACAGTCATAAAATATTTATAAATTTTATTATATTATTAATATTAATTTATTAATATTATTTATTAAATTATATTATTTTTAAGGATCTTACAAGAATTACTTAAGATGTTTACTCTCTATTTGCTCAAATTTTATTACGCATTATATGAATTTCTTTTTGTTGATTTAATTCATATTTAGTGAAAAAGAATAGGTTTTCTGTAGGTTTTCATTAAAAATTAGTAATAAAAATCCAGTAATAATTTTGTCAGAAACTACGTCTAACACTGTAAGGTTTAAGAAATGCATCCATCCTGTTAAAGCCATGATGTACACACAAATATAATCAATAATTACAGTAATAAACCAATAAACTAATATTTGATATATTAATCTGTGTTTTCTGTTCCTTTACAATAAACCAATAAACTAATATGTGACCCTGGACCACAAAACCAGTCATAAGGGTAAATTTCTTGAAATCGAGATTTATGCATCATCTGAAAGGTGAATAAATAATCTTTCCATTGATGTATGGTTTGTTAGGATAGGACAATATTTGGTCGAGATACAACTATTTGAAAATCTGGAATCTGAGGGTGCAAAAAAATCATAATATTGAGAAAATCATCTTTAAAGTTGTCCAAATGAAGTTCTTAGCAATGCATATTACTAATCAAAAATTAAGTTTTGATATATTTACAGTTGGAAATGTACAAAATATCTTCATGGAACATGATCTTACTGAATGATTTTTGGCATAAAAGAAAAATAAATAATTTTGACCCATACAATGTATTTTTGGCTATTGCTACAAATATACCTGTGCTACTTAAGACTGCTTTTGTGCTCCAGGGTCACATATTTGACAAATTAATCTGTATTTTCTATTCCTTTTGCATTTGTGGAGCTGCTTGTAACTGCTATTAAAATGATAATCAATAATAGTAACATGTAAAGTGCCACACAGACTGTAAAATCAAGTGTTAGCCATTCATTTAATATTATAAACAAATAAGTAATAAATAACAGCACTCAGACAAAGGACAATCACAAGTTTCTCTTATTGCACCGCAGAAATCAGAGCAGATTTTGTCTTCATTTCTGTCTGATTATTTCTAAAGAAATCATATTATTTCATTTCTTCCGGCCTCACACTACAAGGCCTAACCTGATTGGCTTCATTAATGTTTTGTGCTCTGAGCACGAGAGGCCACATCTCTGCTGATTCAATTTTTGATTGGTTCTCAGCTGACCTCTGACCTCTCAGGACACAGCAGCACTCAGAAACAAACCAGCAGTTCTCAAAACCTTCACATCATGATCACAGTCAGAGACATTCACCTACTAACTTACACTGACTACAAAAATTAATAAATAAAATTAATATGTAAAATTAATTTAAATTACATAAAAAATGTTTTAAAATATTGTTTTAATATTTTATATTATAGTATATGCTTATATTATTTAATAATTTAAAATATTATTTGTAAATATAAATGTACCTTACTGAAATAAATGTTTCATTTCAGAAACTGTTAAAAAATAAATTTGTTTTTAATGGCAAGTTCAATATTTAATAATACAATAAATATAAATAAAATAAGAAAGACAAAGCTAAAGGTAAAGCATTTTAAAAATCTCTTAAAATAAAAACAACCCAGCTCTAAAATGTATTTTAAATGATAAAAAATACTATTTTATTTTAAATATATTTTAATATTATACAATTATATTGTATATAATAAATACTTATATTATTTTATTATATAATTATGTAAAAACCCATATATACAATTTATTTTGTATTATAATGAATACTAACGTTATTTTATAATTAAAATATATATTATTTTATATTTTTAATATAAATTGATTTTAAATAATTAATTACTTCATAGCAGAATCCATTAAAAATCCATTTACATTTGTATTTAAAAGTATTGCCATATCATTCACTAGTACATGGCAGATTCAACATTCAACAAACAATTCAACAAATACAGACATTTTATAAGATTCAATCTAGAAAAAAAAGACTATAAAAGACTATAAAAGTTTTTTTTTTTTTTAAATGCACTTGTAATTAAAAATCGTAAAGGTCTACATGGGTCCTTCTAACAACGTAAGTACTTCAAAGTTTGTTCTGATACAAAAAAAATCTTATGACTTTAATGACTTATGACAATTAAAACTGGATAAATCGTGTTTTATAGACATAAGTTAGTGCTGCAATATTGAAAAAAGTAAATATAAGAAATATAAACCAAGCATTAAATACTTTTTATTTAAAGCTTTTTTATAAACACAAAAATATCTGCTTAATTACTAAATCTTGTCCCATTTTGTCTATTTTATTTCATTCTGTGCATTTAATCACAAGACTTTGCTCTTTGCTCAAATCCTGTAAGTTTATTTAATTAAAATGTTATGATTTTACACTTTAAATGTATTTTCTCTAAGTATTCTCTATATTTACTGGTGTAATCATACAATGCAGTGAAGAAGTGTTGCAGCAAAAGAAATTGTCACCGCCATCAAAGCAAATGAAACGTGACAATACAAATAAGTGACAGTAAACTGTGAGGTTTCATAGTTTCACTGCCAACAGAAATCACTCACAAACACAGCATAAGTGCATTTCCATGCTTCAGTTATTAGAAACACACACAGAGTCCGTTCAGGTTGTGTGTATGAAATCTGATGTGATACGATCATCTTTGTTTAATCAGTATCTGTGCGCTTCTTACCTGCAATATTAAAGACAAAATCAAAGCTACGCCAACAAAACAAACACTGAAATATTGATCATCCTCAGAGGAGCAGAACAACATCTCTGTGAGTTTCTATATGAAGAATTGCTGCTGCTATTAATATTACAGTGAACACCGAATACTACACACACACACACAAACACACGCACGCACGCACGCACGCATGCGCGCGCGCACGCACACACACACACACACACACACACGCACACACACACGCACACACACATGCACACACAAACACACATACACACATACACAAACACACAATCACACAATCACACACACACACACACCGGCTTCAAAAGTATCTACTCACTTAAAAATGTGTGAAAATTAATGAAAAACAAGCATCAGTATCTGCAGAATTTATCTTCATTAACATCACTCTAATGCAGGGTTATTATGGTTTACTAAAACTAACATTAAAACTATATAATATAAATTCTATATAATGTATATGTAAGGGATAATCAACGGTTTGCCATGCATTAATGTATTTTAAATACACGACGTGGGGGCCAAGAACCAGGTGGTTGCCTCCGCAAAGTATAACCGGTATAGTATAAGAGGAAGGTATAAGCGGGATAATGCATGGCTAGCTATGCATTAAACGATTTTAATGCACTTCGCGGAGGCAACCGGCCTCCACATCATGTATTAAAATTGTTTAATGCACAGCAAGCCGTGCATTATCCCTTACATATACAATAGTTCTTTCTGGTCCTCGAATCTGATTGGCTGATAAGAGTGCGATGTAATTGTATCACTCCGCTTGCGGTACTTCTTACAGCGAGTGTCATGGCGGATGCCCACATACAGTATCATTTATAAATATTACAGTTTTTGTGTCACAGAATGTAGTTTTAAGAGGTTTTCAGCTGTACTTGTTTTTAGTTCAAATATGCAGTTTGTTAAGATTATTATTTGAAAATTTGCTTCGACTTTTTCGGACATGTGAGCTCTAGATCGTCTGTGGCCGTTCTGCG